TTCCTGGACAGCAAGTTTATCGACTTGGGCCTTAAGCATCTGTAGTCGATCACCAATTCTTGTCGACACAGCATCATATAATTTTCCTCTTGGCATATTATCCTTTTCTTCCGCAGCAAGCAAGTCATCAAACTCGATGGGATCACCAACCAGAACAGTCACCTGCAGTTTTTACAGCTCATGAAGAGTATACTAGGAAATTATAAATCATAATTACCGGGAGATGAAAATGTATCAAAGTAGAGAGCAATTACTATTCACCACCCACAAATAAAAAATACATACCGTCTTTCCAATCCTGGGAAGCTTGGCACCTACAGGCATGATGTCTTGCATTCCAGTATGCACAAATGGGACGACTATTGGCACCTTGTCGGCATCCAGAACCAATCTATTAAGGACAAAGAAAAACATGTTTAAAACATGAATGTAATTAAATAACCCGGGGGTGGTAGGGGGGTGGGGGTGGTTCTGCTTCATTCAATAGCAGGAAAACGAGGGGCTAATCAACAGAGAAAAAAAAACTGTCTAATTCTGGCCCCTGGTTTCTGTATAGTTCCATCAATACATTGTCTCTTGGTCTTTTTCTTCTCCAAATATAAAATTATTAAACCACTGAACTGGTATCCTTATTGACATATCATGAGATCCACAACTTATTAGTTAAAAAGAACGAGTACCTGCCGATGCCTCTCTTAATAGAACCCATAGTTTTGCCACCATCTCGAGAGCGACTACCTTCTGGGAATATGTGTACCCATCCACCACGGTTCAATTTTGAAATAGCCATGTCCATCCCCTGTGGTACATGCAGGAATAAACTGAACAATTAGCTGTAACTAGTGGTGGCAAAATGGTTAAAAGGAAACAGTTATACACCCATATTATCCATTACAAAATGGGTTGGATAATGAACTTTTTAAAAACGGGTCCAATATGGATAAGAACCATATTATCCGCATAGAAAATGAGTAACCAATAGATAACTAATAGGTTTAACTTTTACATTTGTAAAACCTCAAGTTGGGGATTCCTCAAGTTTAGGAGACTAAAAATTTTTCCAAAAGTGATCATATTCAAGAAGCCATGGATAATATGGATTAACCCGTTTTTTATCCGTATTAAATATGGGTCGGGTCGGATAATTTGTCCGTTTTTGCAATACCCGCTTGACCCGTCCATATCTGATCCAACCCGCCCGTTTGCCACCCCTAGTTGTAACCTCCACAGTCTCTTTTACCATTTCCAAGAAAACGTCTCAGACTGGAGAAGCGAGAAATATATACTGATGTATAAACAATTAGAATATTAGATCAACTTAAACTCAACTGCATTTCAGCAAAGAAAATACCTTCTGATATATACCGTCACCACGGGAAACTGGAAGAACTTTGACATGTTTGAAGAAGGCAGACGTTGCTGGATTACGGAAACACCGATCAGTTGCACAAAGCGTCCATCTCAAATTTTGTGCATCCAACATAACACTGGGGGGAAGCAATGCAGCAATAACCAGTGGGTCATCCATAGCAGCAACATGATTGCTCACCTGAGTTCATTTAAACAGTAATATATCAAAAGGCATAACCAAGGGGTGCGAGGCTTAAAGCAAGGAACTAGAAGTAACTCAGGTCTCAGGAACATCACTTACTGTAATAAGAGGTTTATTCTCCGCTCGGTTGACCAGCACCTGATGTAATTTTTCTGCACCGTATATCTGCAAAAGTCATCGAGTTATTTCTCCCAATTAGGCAACAGCTGAAATAGTAACTCACTAAAGCTTTAGCTTACCTGAACACGATTGAGACCATGCATAAACACATGACAAACATTTCCAAGCACAGGTACAGCCACAGCTTGAAGCATGCGAGTCAGAACTGAATCTGCTTCTGGATCAATATCCTTGCTAACTGCAGTCATAGTGATTCAGAATTATAACTACTGCGTGAGCTCGAATCCCCATAGGGTAGCAAATACAAGTGAGGGATAGTTTAGTGGAAAGAACCTTCCAACTCATGAAGGACATTGATGTTAAAATTGAAAGGCAAGGTTTAACATATCAAAAGAATCCCAAAAAAGTTGGATAAAATGCCCAAAATTCATCAAAGGTAGATAAATATTGGTACCAGGAGTAATTCTAGCAACTAATTTCAGTCGAGATAATTAACTTTCAAATCACTTCTTTTAACATATGAAGAAACCTGTTTGCTGTGTCAAGGAGGTAAACTCTAGCTCTCAGATTGGAAGTATAAGGGCAGAAAGCAGCTAAGGTAGCTGCTATTTAGCTTAGTAGATTTTCCCAATTTCTCCTAGCAAATACCATGAGCTCATTAAATGTTAATTGATGGCATTGGTTACGTAAAGCATAATTTATTGCTTTAACAGGTTTTATACAGTTGAAGTTCAGTCACATTCCGTAATTTTTCAATTGTAAAACTAAAAACATTGTCAAAGTCCTTTTATATTTAGTCGAACTATTTTGCAAATCCTAGATATGAATAATCGGCATATAGATTTTCCACGTAGCATAACTGAACGAACAGGAAGATGGATCAAATTAGATGCGGTTGTGTCACATTACGTTTTACAAATTCGTATAATATTGAACTGACCTGTTTTACGATAGAAAGTGGAAGAAGAAGGGAGAGCATCTCTACGGAAATCGCTAAAGCGCTGGACCCATCGTTCGACGGTAGATGAGAAGTAGCCGTCAGAGATCAAAGGACGGCGACGGTGATGATCGACGGCGACCCTAAGGCGGTCTCTTAGACGAAGCTGCAGGGACTGTGCCCTATCTTTCCACAGATCCGCTCCTGTTTCAATCCACCTCCCTGATACCATTTTCAATATTCACCTCTTATTATTATATGTATATATGTATGTGTTATTATATGAGTATTTTGGGTGGGTTGATCCAAGCTTTATGCAGAGGGAGTAGAGGAGCGTGAGAGTAGCCTGATCGAAAAGAGAGGGTTTCGACTAGCAGGTTTGTTTTTCTTTTACCTTAAGATGCGCAGGGTGGGTAGTGCGCACATCTTGCCCAAACAGATACTCATATTATTAGGAGTTCCTTAAATATCTTTTGTGGGTCCATAAAGTCTACGTGGCAGATACCTTCTAGCTCGACAGGGCTTGACTTGTCGAGAGCGCCAGCCGTTTTTATTCTACGCCTAAAATTCTTACGTATTAGGGAAGTTCTATTTATTATTTTCTTTGTTAACATTATACTGCTGCTCCCTCCGCCTCAAATTATCTATTGTGATTTTTAAAAATAATTATCTCAAATTATTTATCATTTTAGAAGTTTAAGACAAAATAAAGCCTATTTGAATTGGCTTATATTAAGTACTTTTAAGCCAAAATAGCTTTTATGCCATTTTATAGTGTTTGGATAAAGTAAAAAAATATTTTTAAACACTTGCTTTTAAGCTAAAATGACAAAAATAAGTCAAAAGTTAGAATTCCTAACTTATGGCTTTTGGCTTAAAAGTCACTTATAACAACCCATCCAAACGGACTCTTAATTATATTTTTTTCTATTTTACCCTTGTTATTTTTGAAAATAGAAATAACACATATATAAATAGAAGAAATATTTAATAAAGAGACTGTATCTTAAGATATAAATAAGGGTAAAATAATCTAATACCCCTTTTAATTAATATTCTCTTAAGGGGCGTATAAAAGAGAAACACGATTGGTAATTCGAGACAGAGGAATATTAGTTATTATCGAAGGGTTTAGGCTTAACGATCTTGCTTAGAAATTGAAGAAAATCTTTCTTTAAGCAGAATAAAGTACATCTTTTCTTCTTGATTTCTCTATGTTATTTTTCTTATTATTTTTGTCCAACTGCTTTTCTTCCATGCCAGTATCCCTCCCAATTCTCATCTTATCCATGCAACAAATTCTAGTCTTGTAAAAAGAATTACAACGAAGTCAAGGAAAGCCATGAGCGCTTATAAAACACATGCATCATATTCAATCAGCTATATCGCCTCTACGATACAACTTGTAAGAAAAAAAAATAGATAGGTTTTGGTTTTGTATATCAGAGGGGAGATGCCTATTGGCTATTTCTAGATGGGAGATACCTACAGGATTGTTTTTTCTTTTTTCCTCAAGAAAAATGTTTTCGGCTTCAAGACTTGCGATTTCTAGAACAGATGTTAAACAGAAAAATAAATAAATGGGACTTCCACCACAACCTACAGACAAATCTGAAGCCTAATAATGGAACACTACAACTAAGGCTTTACAAGTTACAACCACAGGCATAAAATCAGTTCACAATAGCCAAGAAAAAAAATACTTCTAAGAGACAACGTAAAGTGTAAGCCCTTTAGAAGGATGACGTTTTCTAGTTTATTCAATCATCGTTTCGTTGTCCAAGCTTTGACAGTAATCAAGAAAGGATAATCTGCCATAAACAGTGGTCAATCACAAGCTAAATGACTCAAGACTTTCAGTTCCAACAGTAAAATCTTCGTCCGACACAATCCTTTTCCAAGCAACCCTCCACTTGAATGCGCTAGAATCAAATATTGATAGTAATGCTGCATAAATAGTAAACATTTCAGAAATGCATTTCGACTGAGGCAGGGAAATTCTATAAGATGACATTGATAAGCAATACCTATAAATAATATGGATCTCACTTCGTAACACTGAAAGCTGTGACACCTGAACCTTCAGAAGAGGTCAGCAAATGAAAATTTGGTATTTGGGTGTTTTACCTCCAACGTTTAGGTAGTTAACATCAAAGGCAACTTGCCCAAAATCATCTGTGGATGGCAAAAGATTGTATTATTGTTGCCAAAATTTTCATGACGAGGTTAATAGAATTTTTGATTCGGGGATAAATAAAATTCGAACCTTCATAGAGGGTCCTCGCAATGTGTACGTACTCAGGTATGAGGTCCCTGTATATGACTCCAGTTGGATGTGCATCTAAGACAACTAGGACTCCTGTCAACATGGTTTAACCATCAGAAGTCGCAGGAAACTTGTAACCTTTGTTATCTGTAAGAGAAAACTGTTCTTTTTTGGAAAAAATCAATCATATAAATAAATCATGTTCTACAACACTGCTATTTCAATCTAAATTTTCCCTTGGGGAAAATAACATTTGGATTTCAGATATGTGGATTTTATGCGGCTAATTCCTTCCATTTACACACTGTGAGAGAAAACTGTTTCCTTTCTCTTTCCAATTAAGTCTCATTGATAATCACTCTTTGCAGATCATCAGGATGTTAATTATTATCCTAATAGATCTGATCATTTTGTTTTTATTTAGAGAGAAAGTCAAATCAAAAGACGTGAAAGTACACTACACACCAGTGGGGAACTTTCCACTAGACGAGTAATCTGAGGACTTCTGCTTTCTCTCTTTTCAGGGGATGGAGTAGGAAAACACTCAATTATTTTATCATTTAGGCCATCAAAGAAACATACCTGGTGCTAACCATTCTTTTGTAGAGTTGCTAGCTAATGGAGCTAACCATAATATGTTCCGCAAATTCATCGAATCATCATAAGAGACATTAGATCCTGCGAACAATAAAAACCTAAATAGAATGAGAATAAAGAACATCATTGTTGTCTTTTTGAAAATCTCATTACGCAAAAACTTCGGAGGGTTAGAAACAATGATGGATCAAAAACTGCACATAGTAGAGAAAATGGCTATTGTACTATCTCTCTTGTACCTCTGATATTTAAGAGTGAGAGAAAATTCAATTCAGAACATTCAGTTGATCTCTGAGGAAGTGGTCAAAGATGCAGACTAACCTATTTGGCAGTAGCCCATGTTGTAAGGGAAGATTTCCTTATCATATGCTGGATACTCCTTAGCATGGAACCTGGAAAATTTTTGCAGTGTGAACATCATGAGCATCTCACACACACAAGAAAAGAAACCAGAAATAGAAACAAATAAAAAAGAAAAAAAACCTAGTTCGTATGGAAAAAGCAGCATTCAAGAAATTCCAGTCAACAAAACACAGAAGCAAAAAGAACAACTGAGTCCATGGGTATGAGTGGTTGGACGACGGTTAGAATTAAAATGAGTACGTATTAAAACATTTCCACTGATTTTGTGTTTCGGAGGAATTTAGATTCTCTTACTCCTTACTAAGCTAACAAACAAAGGTTCCCCATGTCATATTTAATTAAACATAGAGAATCGATAGATACTCTTAGGTTCAAGGATTCAAATACTTTCTCCTTCCCTTATGCCAAATAGGTTTCCTCGAAAACGGAGAAGAGCAATTAACTTACTGATAACTATATAAGCACATTCTTTTGCAGTGTAAATCATCAAAAATTACTCATTAATGATATAGTCTAGTGTATGAAGGTTCTCCATAGAGACAAAATTAGAGAAGCTGCTAAAAATAAGCGAAGCCCCTCAATCCCCTAAATTACTTAGTCCAACTCCTAAAGCAATCTGGAGAATGAATTGAAAATTCTACTTTTACAACTAAAAGCCTAACAGATTCCCATCTTACAATTTGGTTCTCAATTAAGTAGAAGTTATAATGATGCATGAATGAATACCACTCATGGCTCTTTTCCCTTTGTCTAAAACCTAGCGCACTTCTCCTGGTAGAATATCAGTGCACTCATATTGCTACCACAACAGCAAACCCCATAAAGCAACCCAAATCATAAACCAAGAAACCCCTCATTCATCACTTAGTCCTTCGTGGACATCAGAGATTACAGAGAGCAGCAAAAGCTCCATTTCCTTTGAAAGTATGCAAACGAAGATCAACTGCATAACATACTTTTTTTGAGAAAGGATCAACTGCATAACATACTTAAGTTAAACAAAGAAGAAATCCATTTAATATAGTGCCACATACTCTCTCAAGGATACTGATTAACAGACTTCACTTTAATAAAGAATTTTATCCATCTTATTAAACTATTAGCTTACTGAAAAACACAATGGCTAGATGATAGCCTTACCTAGAACTGCATTTACTCATTCCTACAACTGGAAAGGATAATTAATATGTTACAAATGATGTTTTATGTCAAGCATGCAAGTCAAATCAAATGACATGGAAGATCTACATTCGAACTATAGGCCATAGCAAAAGCAGTATAATACAGTTTCAAGTCTTGAACAGGTAGTCATTTCAAGTTGAATCAGATGTGACATGCCTTTTCTCCTTAGAATCATATTGCAAGTAACACAAGTTAAATATATTCAAGAAAAAACAACAATTGTGGTTGAATTTACAATATGACGCAACAACCACAGATACTCGATCATATTGCCTTTTTTATCTTGCTTTTAGCAGCTAGATTTGAATTCTACTAAATATGATGTTCATTATCTCCCTGCTGCTTATTAGATGGATTGATTGAAGAGTTCAGGGCTTCGGGCTATAGAGATGCAATCACGAATCAAGTTAGACGAGCATCCATCATATTCTTCAATAGGTTAATGGGTATCTTCTCCAGTTTTCTCTAATCCCAGTTCACTTCATTATTACCAGCTGAAGAAGAAAAAGAAATATTTAAAAGAAAGAACATCCTTCCATATATCCGATTAGCTAATCAATTAAGTGCAAAACAATTTTTATCTGCTAGGCCGTTTACAATTGAAGAGTACTTAGGTCCGCCTTTTGTGGAACACTCAAGCAACAGAAGCATCATTTGTCTCATGGTGTGCATGTGACAGTAAGGGTTCATGTCAACTTACAAAATCCCAAGCCTTCCAGACTCTCTGGCAAGAAAGACATGACCATGAAAGAAGTCAAATCGCGACAATGATGTATTTAGCCCTACACTGGGTCCCCGAGCAACAATCATTTCAAACAAAAACTCAAGGTATGAATTTATCTCCTACAAAACAACAATTAAATTCAACATCAAACAAAAACCAAGAAATCCTCATTTCAAGAGGATCTAGAAGTTTTTAATGCTGACCTCATTAATGAAAACTCTCCCATAAGGAGTTCTAGTAAGTTCACATCGGTCTTCCTTTGATCCTTCAATGTCTGGAACCTGCACATCAAATAGGAATGCACTTACTGTCAAAATAGCAGACTAAGACAAATGAAAGGGAGGAGTGCACTTTTATACATTGCTATAGAGACCATATTAGTACGGGATATATTAAAATTTTTAGATTGACATCACGAGCTGAATTTGTCTCTGTATTTGCCTCTGAAATTCGTTCATAGCACAAGTTAGGGTAACATATTTTGGGTACTGCATTTAATAATATTGTACAAAGAGTGCACCAATTACAATTCCAGCTATATACTAATATGTGAATGGTGGCCAACTCTAATTGTCAAGAAATTGCATGAGGCATAACAAAAGCCCAAAAATGTATGTTTATGGTTTACAAACTCTACTGATACAAGCCTAAGCTTTCATGACAAAAGAAGATAAAAGTTAGAACTATCAGTTTCTTTTTTTAAGTAAGGATTTGTTTTGCAATTGTTTGCTTAAGTATGATCGGTATTAAAATTGAGTTAGTGCTAACAGAACAGTGTTGCCTGAGGCAAATAATGCAACAACCTTAAAAGCTTTTCCTCCAAATCAGGTTCTGAAGATTTGCACTTTTCAGTTATTTGTAACTCCTATCAGTATGGGCTATTTTAAAAGCTTTTAGATTGTCACAAGCAAATAGTGTCTCTCTTTTCCCCTCTGACCTTTGTTCCTAACAAAAGTTATAGGCTTTGACTATTGCATTTTAATAATACTGTACAAAGAGTGCACAAATTACAATTCCAGCTATATTAATAAGTGAATGGTGATCGACTCTAATAACAGGGTCCCCACATACCTCTACTTTTGCCACCTTGAAGAAAGTCATAAACTCCTTGCACTCTTTCTGTAATCAAATCAATTCCCATTTCCCAAATTTGTTAGACTCTAGTTCCTTACCCGCTCTGCCCAGCCCTGCTAATATTTAAGAAACCCATAGTCTTCCCATGCTGTGCCCTTCCGCCCATTGCCATCCCTACATCTACTTTTGAATTTTTGCAGTTATCCATTGTTTTACCCGAATCAGGTTTTCTGAACATTCTCACTTCCAGTTATTTGCATCTTATTTTGAGCTTTATCCGTTGCACTAAGGAAATCTCCATAAAGAGGAACAATATCATGCACTGTATAAAAATAGCTGATATAATTGGCTTTTTCCCTTTGCGAGAAAACGAATAACAAATGCCCAATTATTTCAAAGACCTAGAAAAGAAATTATATAGCATCCTGACTGTAAACAAATTTACCAAATTCGGTACTTCGAATCTAATTACAGGTAACTCTCTATAGTGAGCTGTAAGCATGCTTAGTTAGTCAGAAAAGTATGGTAAGTAACACCGACTAACACGTGGTAACTAGCTAAGATACAACCATAACGTAAATAATGATTGATTAAACTGCTAATGTAGATAAGTTAAATCCATTACATAACAGATTGTCAACATGGAGACTGGAGAGACATGAAGAACTCACAGGGATGACCGTTGGATCAAGCGTCCAATGAATAGAACTAGGATCACCGCCAGAGTCAACGGCGAGGCGAGCCAGCTCCATCACCGGCGCCGGCGGCCACCAAATAAGCTCATTCTCTTCGCTTACACTCCTTCGATTACTCAACTTAGAACTCAACGAGCGTCTATTTGGAGCCTGAGAACTCGGAGAGAAAGGGACGAGGAATTTGAGGCAAGAGCGGAGTTGGCAGGCCTCTTGAGTGTTTACAGCTGAGGCTTGTTGAGGTGGGCCCAACAGAGCGAGCAAATCGGCGACTGAGGCCTTGGGTACGGCGGATTCCGGCGGCGAGGCAGAGGAACGGAGCTTGAGCTTGCGGAAGGAGTAAGGAGGAGTGAATGTAACAGTGGAAGTGGCAGTATATGAAGCGGCGAAAGAGAGGGAGAAGAAGAAGGCGAATTTGAAAGAGAACAGTGGCTGGCTCATCTTTCTCCTCCCACGAAAATTGGAGTCAACCCACAAAAATGGCTTTGAATGGGAACGCGTAAACTTATAAATTGCATTTGCTGAATTTATAAATCGCATTTGCTGAATTCAATGAATCCGGCTTATAAATCGATTCACAGATTGCGACTTATAAATTAAAATGGGACTTATAAATCGCATTTCGGAATGCGACTTACAAATCCAATACGCAATTCAAGCAACTTGCTGCATGTGTTTCCCTTTTTAAAAAAAAAATTAAATTGCTAATAGACATGCTTCATTTTTTTTCCATTCTAGATTCCCGTTTTAGACTTCTTTATTAGTTACACATAAATTTTCTTTTTAAAGTTTAATTTTTATTATATATTATTACTCAAAGTAATAATATAGAACAAGAAAAAACAAGCTAAGAGAGAAAGAGAGGAAGAGAGATTCTTATTTCTTCTTCAATTGTGTGTATTTTACTATCTATTACAAAACTTTTATATAGGCATGAAAAGTGAAGAAAAATATGTCATTGAATATGTCATTAAGCATTTGAGAAGATCATGGAGGAAGAGTAGGCATCCACCATAATTTGATTTTTCTTATAACACTACCCTTTGGATGTCCATAGATAATGTGTCTCGTTAAAACCTAACCCTATGGGAAAAAAATCAGAGTGAAGGAAAAAGAGTACACATGTTTTGAAATACGCCTTTTGGTTGCCTCGTTAAAAACTTTGTAAGAAAAACCCAATGGGACAAAACCTTGTAAGGGAAAAAGAGTACAACACGTATTAACTCCCCCTGATGAGAGCATCAATTCACATCTTTGAGCCTTCGCATCCCAATCTTGCACACTAGTTTCTTGAAGGTTGACATCGGTAGAGATTTGGTGAACAAATCAGCCATATTATCACTTGAACGGATCTGTTGTACATTTGATATCACCATTCTTTTGAAGATCATGAGTGAAAAATAACTTTGGTGAAATGTGTTTTGTCGACAAGAGGGGTTGCTCTGATGGTAAGCAACCTCCACTTCTAACCAAGAGGTTGTGAGTTCGAGTCACCTCAAGAGCAAGGTGGGGAGTTCTTAGAGGGGAAAGATGCCGAGGGTCTATTGGAAACAGCCTCTCTACCTCATGGTAGGGGTAAGGTCTGCGTACACACTACCCTCCCCAGACCCCACTAGTAGAATTATACTGGGTTGTTGTTATTGTTGTTGTTGAAATATGTTTTGTTTTATCCCCTTTTATGAGTCCTCCCTTCAATTGGGCTATGCATGTTACATTGTCTTCGTACAAAATTGTGGGTTGTTTGTCACACTTTAAACCACATTTGTCTCGAATAAGATGTATTATAGACCTCAACCATACACATTCTCGACTTGCTTCATGAATAGCAATTATCTCAGCATGATTAGATGAAGTAGCCATGATTGATTGCTTAGTCGATCGCTAAGATATGACACTGCCTCCATATGTAAACACATAGCCTGTTTGAGATCGAGCCTTGTGTGGGTTAAATAAATACCCAGTATCGGCATAACCAACAAGATCGGGACTGCAATCATTGCCATAAAATAATCTCATATCGGTAGTCCCTTTTAGATACCGCAATATGTGTTTTATTCCATTCCAATGTCTCCTTGTAGGAGCAGAGCTATATCTTGTTAAGACATTAACTGAAAAAGTTATGTCAGGCCTTGTAGTGTTAGCAAGATACATTAGTACACTAATTGCACTAAGATATGGTACTTCGGGACCAAGAAGCTCTTCATTCTTTTCTTCAGGTCGGAACATGTTCTTATCCACATCAAGTGAACGAACAATCATCGGAGTACTTAATGGATGTGCTTTATCCATGTAAAACCGTTTCAATACCTTTTCTATGTAGGCAGATTGATGAACAAAAGTCATGTTTGCCAACTGTTCAATTTTGCAAACCAAGACATAATTTTATCTTTCTAAGATCTTTCATCTCGAATTCCTTCTTTAAATAATCAATTGCCTTTTGGAGTTCTGTAGGAGTTCCAATAAGGTTTATGTCATCAACATATACAGCAAGTACAACAAACTCCGTTGTTGTTTTCTTTATAAAAATACATGGACAAATGGTATCATTTATATAACCTTCTTTTAATAAATACTCATTAAGGCGGTTATACCATATTATTCCTGATTACTTTAGACCATACAAATATCTTTGCAATTTGATTGAAAATATTTCCCGGGACTTCGAATTATGTGTGTCAGGCATTTTAAATCCCTCGGAAATTTTCATGTATATCTCATTATCAAGTGAGTCGTAAAGGTAGGTTGTAACCACATCCATTAAATGCATGTCAAGCTTTTCATGGACAGCAAAACTAATGAGATAACGATACGTTATAGTATTCATAACAGGAGAATATGTCTCTTCATAATCGATACCAGGCCTTTGTGAAAATCCTTGTGCAACAAGGCGTGCCTTATATCTTTGTACCTTATTTTTCTCATTCCTTTTCAAAAACCCATTTATAGCCAACAGGCTTAACACCATTTGGTGTTTGGACTACAGACCCAAAAACTTCACGTTTCGCAAGTGAAGTTAATTCTGTTTGGATAACGTCTTTCCATTTTGGCCAATCATTTCTCTGTCTACATTCATCAACAGATTTTGGTTCAAGATCCTCATTGTCACGACCTGAAATTTCCATCGTCGGGACCGTGATGACACCTAACATTTCACTTGCTAGGCAAGCCAATGTTAGAGAATCATTTAAACCAATCCTTATTCCATTCAGTGATTAACATCAGATTAGCTAAGATGAAATATAGCGAGTGTAGAATAATATAGAAACTGCATCAATTACTACTACCCGGATATGGAGTCACAATTCACGAGCATTCTACAATTCACAAGTAAGAGTCTGAAAGAAATACAACTGTTTGGATGGAAGAAACAGTAAAACAGAAAAGATAGGCGGGGACTTCAAGATCTGTGAATGCCGACAGATCTACCTTGAGTCTCCGGATAGCGGGTCCAATAGCTAAAATTTTGATCAACCCGAGCCGATACCAAAATCTGCACAGAAAGTGTAGAGTGCAGTATTAGTACAACGACCCCATGTACTGGTAAGTGTCGAGCCTAACCTCGACGAAGTAGTGACGAGGCTAAGATAAGGCACCTACAAATCAACCTGTATAATTTAACAGTGTATATGCAAGTAACAACAATGAAAAGCTAGGAAGGTAATATCGGGAGGGGGAACATGCTGAGGGAAATACGGGATAAATAACTACAGCAGAATAATGACCGAAACAACCAATGTACTATGAATCAACAGGAACAACGAATACAGTAAAGGAAAATAAATTGCACGGCATCACCCTTCGTGCTTTTACTCTCAACCTCACCATAAAATCAATAGAAATGGCACGGCATCACCCTTCGTGCATTAACTCTCATATCATGGCACGACATCACCCTTCGTGCATTAACACTCACAATATGGCACGACATCACCCTTCATGCATTAAAACTCACAATATGGCATGGCATCACCCTTCGTGTATTAACACTCATAATATGGCATGGCATCACCCTTCGTGCATTAACACTCTCCCTTACCATAATGCAATGAACAATTAACAACAAGGAGATAGAATAACATATACAAGCCTTACTTTAACATTTGGTTCTACAATATCAATCTCAACTTTGAAATAAATACTCAATTATCACCAGAAGATCCATAAATATGATAAGAACAATCAATTTAACAACACTAATCTAAACACGTAGCAATTAGGCATAGGAAAGAGACAATATGAGAAAAACGGGAAAAAACAGGGGGAAAACAGGTAAATTGGCGCCGCATAAATACTCTTCACCTCACATATACGCCCCTCACATGAATTTCACATAGCAAATAATCTGAGGTTCCTAACTCCCTCAAGTCAGCGTTAACCACGATACTTACCTCACTCCAAAGGCCACGCAATACTCAATCATAGCTTTTCCTTTAGAATCCACCTCCAAACCACTCGTATCTATTCAAAAACAACTCAATAATATCAATTATTGCTAAAGGAATTAATTACATTGCATAAATTTAAATTTTCCAAACTTTTCTCCAAAAAGTCATAAATCGACCCCGGGTCCGCTTGGTCAAAACCCGAGGTTCGGACCAAAATTCATTTACTCATTCACCCCCGAGCCCGGATATATAATTGGTTTTGGAATCCGACCTCAATTTGAGGTCTAAATTTCCAAATTTTCGAAATCCCTAGTTTCTACCCAAAACCCCTAATTCTACCATGAAAACTCTAGATTTTAGGTTGATAATTCATGAAATATAATGGGCAATAGAAAGAAAATGGTTTAGAATTACTTACCAATACTTTGGGGAAGAAAATGTAGCTTGAAAATCGCCTCTAGCCCGTTTGATTTTTTAAAAAAATGAAGAAATGGCTTAAGTCCCTTTTTGATTCTATTTTAAGTGTTGGGTGACGGTGTTCATCGCGTTCGCGAGGACATTGTCGCGTTCGCGAAGAGTATAGATTGCCAAGCCTTCGCGTTCGCGAGTCCTTTCTCGCGTTCGCGATGGTTACTCCCCCCGGCCTTCGCGTTCGCGAGACATTGCTCGCGTTCGAGATGAAGGAAATACCAACCCTACCCCAGGTCCCAAATGCTTCGCGTTCGCGATGAGCCGGTCGCGTTCGCGAAGGGTAAATCCCCCATCACTTTGCGTTCGCGACCAGGCCTTCGCGTTCGTGAATAATAAAAATCAGCCATTCCAGTTTCTACTTCGCGTTCGCGAGAGTGCCTTCGCGAACACGAAGAAGGAAACCAGAAGGCATCAGAATCTGCAGAAAACCAGATTTTCCAAAGTCCAAACATCCCGTAGCCTATCCGAAACTCACCCGAGCCCTCGGGGCTCTATACCAAACATGCACAAAGTCTAAAAACATCATACGAACTTGCTTGCGCGATCAAATCACCAAAATAACACCTAGAACTAAAAATTTAGCACCAAATCCAATGAAATATTTTCAAGAACACTTTAAAATTTCTATTTTCTCAACTGGACGTCCGAATCACGTCAAATCAACTCTGTTTCTCACCAAATTTCACAGATAAGTCATAA